TATTCTAATTCTGAGTAACGTTTTTTGTTTACAAGTCTGTCTCGCAAGCACACCACACACACATTCTTTGGTTCTTTCGGTAAAGTCACGTAGATAGAAAAATAATAAAAAAATAAAGTGAATAAATAAAAATGAAATAATAATTAAAAAAACCACTGATGGCACACACACAAAACACCTACCGGGAGTATAAGACAAGTTTGGCTTTGATTTACGTGCAGCGGTGGTGGTGGGGGCAATGCGTATTATAATCAGGACATCGCGGTGGTAGTTGTAGGAGCAGCGGCGGCTGTGGTGGTGGTGGTGGATCGTAATTAAAAAAAGTAAGTATGCTCGAGAGAGGTGACACGTGTTGTTGTAAGTGCGACGTCTTCTTTCCGTGCATGACAGCACGGCCTCACACACGTGGTGGTGGTGGATGGGGGGGGGGGTTATTGCGACGCAGGCAAACGGAGCGACCTACCACGGGCATTCCTTGCTCTGACCAAGACAAATAAGCCCACGCGTCTTTAATCTGCTGCTGCTGTTGCCGTCCTAGAAATCTGCCCCCCCTCCCTCCCATCATCCTCCCTCCTCCGCCATCCTCCTCCTCCACCACCACCTTCTCTCTGTGTCCCTCTTGTTACCGCAGCTGCACTTGCAGCTGCCCCACAAGGACGCGTCCATCACCCATTAATCCACCACCACCCCAACAATCACTGCCACCACGCTCACCGCACAGGTCATGCATTCCACGTCCCCCAGCGACTGAACCCTCACAATGGGGGTGGCGACACAAGGTAGCGCCCTACGTACAGATGCGCAGACACACTCCCACAGACAGACACACACAAAGACAACGATCCCGCCGCCCGCCGTTTAGATGTTATAGACTGTTGGGAGAAGTGCTGTTGGAGAGCACCACAACACACACGCAGAGATAAATAGTCACGCAGTCACAGACAGTCACACAGTCAGAGAGAGAGAGAGACACACAGAGGCACAGACAGTCACACAGTCAGAGAGAGAGACACAAGAAGCACAGACAGTCACACAGACAGTCAGAGAGAGACACGCACAGGGGCACAGAAAGTCACACAGTCAGTCACACAGACAGTCAGAGAAAGACACACAGAGGCACAAGACAGTCACACAGACAGTCAGAGAGACAACAACAACAACCGCCATTCGCCACTAAGTGGCGGTGACGTCACCACGACGCTTGTGCCAGGCCATGTGCACCTTCAGGCCACGTGAAGTGTCGAACGCCCGCGGGCAGGAGGTCACGGGGCAGACCCAAGTGCCACGGGTCGACTGACTAACATGACTGGCTGATGCACCACCTGTGCCCCCTACTGTGCCAACCTGCTGTGCTTTAGCCACCCGGCGCTCCGCTCGTTGTTGTGAGCGTCGCTCCTCCGCCCTCCTTTGTTGTTGGAGGGCGACTGCCTCCAACTGCCCAGTAGCATCCTTCACGAGCCTCCTCCACAGAGGCCGATCTTGACACCGCTGGTACCAGTCATTGGCAAGTCCACTCAGCTCCACGTCCTCCTGTACCACATCACTCCATCTCTTCTCTAGCCCGTGCCGCGCCCGTTTAGTCCCCTCGATCAGGCCGAACAAAAGCTGTTTCGGCATGCGGTGGCTGGGCATGCGGGCTACATGACCCAGCCAACGCAGCCTTGCCTGCCGGAGGAGCTCACCGATAGGACCTTGCCCAGATTTTTCAAGGATTTGTGAGCTCCTCACACAATCCAGCCTGGTTAAACCCAGGATGGATCGTAGGCAGGCGAGCCTAAATGTTTCTAACCGGCGAAGATGTTCCATTAAGGGGGTCCACGTGAAGACATGAAGCTTAGTGCGGAGCGACAGACCAGGTAGCTTCCATACAGCGTTACGCAACCGATGAAAATATATTGCCGCTCGACTGATTCGGAGTGTGACCTCTGCTGTTTAACTGGAGCCGGTCATAAGCACATTGCCCAGGTATGGGAAACTCTCCACTATCTCCACAACTGCCCCATCACCGATTGGGAATTGTGGGGGTGGAGTGTCCGATGGTACAAAATACCCAGGCAGGTGCTTAGTTTTGGTGGGGCTGAGGGTAAGGCCCCATCTCTTAGTGGCACGCTCCAGTCTCAGCAGCAGCGTCTCCAACTCCTCCTCTGAATGAGCAGCTATTACCAAATCATCAGCATACATAATGTGGTTGAGCAATAGGGAGCCATCCCTTGACCGCACCCGGGCATCGATCAGCCTCCCATTATATCTGTACCAAATGGAGATTCCCCCGGTACAGCTATTGAAGGCTTCACGAACTACGTGGTCAAAATAGATGTTAAATAATGTGGGAGCCAGAGGACATCCCTGTTGCACCCCAAGGTGTACAGGGAATGGCTCTGACTCCCGGCCATGTAGTTTTACCCGGGCCCGCTCACCATCATGAAGGTCCTTAATGATCGTGAGCAGGGGGTCAGGGACTGCAAAAGCACGAAGAACAACCCAGAGCCCAGGCCTACTGATGGTATCATAGACCTTGACCAGGTCAATAAAACAGAGATGTAGGTCTTGTTGGAATTCCCTACATCTCTGCTGTAGAGACTGATAGAAAATATGGCATCTGTGCAGGACCGCCCTTTCCTGAAACCGCATTGGGGCTCCGCAAGCCTCTCCTCAGCGTGCCTGGCAAGGCGATGTTGAATAATCCTTGCCAGGACCTTTACCAGCACACTGAGGAGTGAGATGCCCCTGTAGTTGTTACAGTCTGTGCGGTCCCCCTTCGTAAAGAGGGGGACCACCAGGGCATCCTTCCAATCCTGCGGAACCCGTCCAGTGGTCCAGACTGTTGTTATGATGTCATATAGGGCAGTCTGTACACAAACGCCACCCTCCCTCAGCATTTCGCTTGGGAGATCATCTCTGCCCGCTGCCTTTCCTGGTCTCAGACTCCGGATCGCCTTCAGTACTTCCTCAACAGATGGCACCTCAGCCAGCCACTCACAGGGGGTGACTTCTTCCAATATTTGAGGCACCACAGCCTCAGCAGGGTCATCCCCACTTTGTGCCACGATGTTTTCCTGGCTGAGGGGTTTCCCCTCCCCCAGGACCTCACAGAAATGCTCAGCAAATCTGCAAACCTGTTCCTGGGGGTCGGAGATTGGAACACCATTTTTCCCCTAATCATGGTAATAGGTGTGGCGCTGCAGGTTCCCTTTTTGATGGAGTTAAATAGAGATTTGTGATCGCAGGCCACTGAGGCAAACTCCATCTCCTCAGAAACCCGCGACCACCACCCATCCTTGCAGCGCCTCACGGCTCTCCGAACCTCCGAGTGAAGGCTGTGGTAAGCCTCCTTATTCTCTCACGTGGGATTCTGTAGCCGATTACAGTGGGCCTGTCGCTTTTTCTCAACTATCCTGAACACCTCCTCTGCCAGCCAGGGTCTCTGGGGAGGTCTGGACCGCGTACGCAAAGCAGCCATTGCAGCTGCATGAGTCACAGTCCTAAACCTCGCCCATTTACCCTCGACATCTGTAGGAGTGGGGGACGATGCCAAACCCAGCTGCAAGCGATGATGAAATTCTCGCTTGTAACTTTCATCAGCTAACTGAGACCAGGCCACTTTAGGTTGGAATGGGGTCCTGGGTGTACACCCACCACCGGAGTGGAAGAATGGCAGGCGCATCTTACACATGACTAATCGATGGTCAGAGGGCAGATCAGCTCCACGGTAGGTCCTGGTGTCAAGGACATGGGCTCGCATCCGCTGGTCCGTCACTATGTAGTCCAGCAGATGTTCTTGCTTGGACCCGGCATGCATCCATGATGTTGTGGATGCGCCGATGCCGGAACAGCATGTTGGTAATTACAAGCCCATGAGCTGCACAAAAATCTCACAGCCTCCTACCGTTGTTATTGAGCTGATCTGGCCCATGCCCTCCAATCACTCCAGACCAGGTGCCAGCATCATGACCAACTCGGGCATTGAAGTCACCCAACAAGATGACTCTATCCCGAGGAACCACTTTAGCCAGCACCTGTGAGAAGAGGTCATAGAAGGCATCTGTCTCATCGGCTTTGCCTGCATCCCTCCACGGATGTTCGTCTTCGGTGGGGGCATAAGTAACCACGACCACCACTCGTCGCCTCCGGTTGATGGGAAGGCGAGCCCAAAGTAGCCTGGGGCTTACAGCTTCCCACACCTCACCGCCACGCTCCCACCCACCCTTCATTCTTTTGTTCAAAAGAAGAGCCACACCCTGTTGTTTGGCAGTCTGCAGCCCCGAGTAAAGGACTGTCCACCCCTCATGGTGGCAGGAGCCAGAACCGGTCTACCGGACCTCCTGAATGCCACAGAGATCCAGGCGGTACCGGTCCAGCTCCCGACAGAGGAGTGGCAGCCTCTCCTCCGCAGTGAGCGTTCGAACATTCCACGTGGCCACACGAAGTGGCTTTTCGTTGTTTATGGAGGAGCCCCGAGGGTAGAGATTCCATCTCCTGGCTCCGCAAATTGGGGTTTGGCCAGGAGACGTCATAGACGCCTATACCCCCGAGGCCTCTGGCACAAGCTTATTAGTTATATATTTAAGTCGTGGTTTCGTGGTAATTTTTTGAAGGTGGAGGGGTTACCAGCCCCTCGCACCCGTCCAGAGCCCCCGTTTAGCCACTGTGGTGGTCACAGACGCCATGAGGGGAGAGGGCCAATCGGAATTGGCCCTCTCCCCACAGCACTGTCCACGACAGAGTTGCCCGTCCGGCACCGCGAGGAGGTAGGAGGTTGTTTTGCCGGACACACACACAGACACACAAAGATGAAGATCCCCCGTATAGCCTTAACAGACTGTTGGGGCAAGTGCTGTTAGCGAGCACACACACACAGACACACACACACAGACAGACACACAGACACACACAGACGCACAGACACACACAGACACACAGACACACACAGACACACACAGACAGACATACAGACAGACACACACACACAGACACACACACAGACACACAGACAGACACACAGACAGACACACAGACACACACACAGACACACAGACAGACACACAGACACACACGAGCCGCGTGCACACACCCAACGCTTGCCACGCTGCGGGCTCCGCGGGTCGCGCGCGGCGGGGGGTTCCGAGTGCGCGGTGCCATATGGCGGGGGAGGCGGCGCGCAGCTGGAGGAGAGCATTCCCGGGCAGGGGAGCCGTGATGTCAGAGCAGCTGCCAGCCAGACTCGCTGCTGCTGCTGCTGCCGCTGCCTCCTCCTCCTCCTGCTGCTGCTGCTGCCGCCGCCGCTGCTGCTTCTGCTACTGCCGCCGCTTATTCTACACAAGCAGCAGCAGCAGCACGCCGGTTGCCTCGGCGCTCTGTGAACGCTGCATCGACACTCTTCTATCTGCTGCTGCAGCTGCTGCTGTTGAGACTGCGGCTGCTGCTGCTGCTGCTGCGTTATCGCGACTCGGGCCGGGCCGGAGGAGAGAGGCGGAGGGGAGAAGGAGCGACTGCAGCAGCCGCCAGGATCAGGTACGCGGAGCCGAGTGCCTGGGTAGCACTGTGGTGGTGGTGGGGGGGGGGTCCGGAGGTGGGTACCCTGAGTCCTGGTACGCGTTGTGGCTGGGTACGCGTGGGCACGGTGGCACGGGGGGGTTGGTACGCGGTGCTAGGCGACTGCTACACGAACGTGCTGCTGGGTGGCACACGCAAGGTGGGTAGGTAGGAGGGTGAACAGAGTTGTGACGCTGTGTGTATACGGGATGTTGGTGGCGCTGCTGGTGGTGGTGGTAGTGGTTACACGGAATGTGGTGCTTGGTAAATACAGTGCTAGGGTGGCGAGTACATGGGGTGTGTGTTTGGTACGCAGGGGTAGGATGCTGGTACACGGGGTAGACTGTGTGTACACGTGGTGTGTGCTTGGTACACAGGGGTAGGAGGCTGGTACACCTGGTAGACTGTGTGTACACGTTGTGTGTGATTGGTACACAGGGGTAGGAGGCTGGTACACGGGGTCGGCTGTGTGTACACGTGGTGTGTGATTGGTACACAGGGGTAGGAGGCTGGTACACCTGGTAGACTGTGTGTACACGTGGTGTGTGCTTGGTACACAGGGGTAGGAGGCTGGTCCACGTGGTAGACTGTGTGTACACGTGGTGTGTGCTTGGTACGCAGGGGTAGGAGGCTGGTACACCTGGTAGACTGTGTGTACATGTGGTGTGTGCTTGGTACACAGGGGTAGGAGGCTGGTACACGGGGTCGGCTGTGTGTACACGTGGTGTGTGATTGGTACGCAGGGGTAGGAGGCTGGTACACGGGGTAGGCTGTGTGTCCACGAGGTAGGCTGTGTGTAGACTGTGTGTAGGCTGTGTGTACACGAAGTAGACTGTGTGTACACGGGGTAGGCTGTGTGTACACGGGGTAGGCTGTGTGTACACGGGATATGTACACGGGGTAGACTGTGTGTAGACTGTGTGTAGGCTGTGTGTACACGGGGTAGGCTGTGTGTACACGGGGTATGTACACGGGGTAGACTGTATGTAGACTGTGTGTAGGCTGTGTGTACACGGGGTAGACTGTGTGTAGGCTGTGTGTACACGGGGTAGGCTGTGTGTACACGGGGTAGGCTGTGTGTACACGGGGTAGGCTGTGTGTACACGGGGTATGTACACGGGGTAGACTGTGTGTAGGCTGTGTGTACACGGGGTAGGCTGTGTGTAGGCTGTGTGTACACGGGGTAGGCTGTGTGTAGGCTGTGTGTACACGGGGTGTGTACACGGGGTGTGTACACGGGCTGTGTGCCCGGCACAGAGTTGCGTCTCCGCTTTGTGGCCGCTGAACGCGAGCTCGGTGCGCCGCCCTGCGCTGTTTGTCATTAACTTGCGGCTCTCTCTAGCCAGCTCACAGAGACAAAGGTCCCCCGTGTAGCCGCAACGGACTTTTTTGGCCAAGTGCCGCTCGCGAGCACATTCGAGGGCCGGCACTGCGCACGATGAGGCGGTGTGGAGGCCCGGTGGCGACGTTCACACACCGCAACGGGTGACTCATTTGAGGCTGAGTCGACCTAGGGGAGGTCCAGGACCGGTTCAGATAATCGCCACTTGGTGTTGGCCGCGAGCGGGAATGGAACTCGGGTGGCCGGGTTCGGAGCACAGTGCGCTAACCTCTGCACCACCGCTCCCTACATACGCCAACAGAGACAAAGATCCCCCGTATAGCCTTTAACAGACTGTTGGGGCAAGTGCAGTTAGCGAGCCCATATGAAGGCCGGTACGGCACACGAGGGGGTGGGTGGCCAGCACCACGCCCGGCCGCCTTTGTCTCCCTAGTGGCGATATTTTTAGGCATCGCACCAGGTACTCATTTGAGGCTGAGTCGACCTAGGGGAGGCCCAGTACCGGTGCAGATAATCGTCACTTGGTGTTGGCCGTGAGTGGAAATCGAACTTGGGTCGCCGGGGTCGTAGCGCAGCGTAGCGCTAACCGCTCCCACATACGCCAACACACACTCACGCACACACACGCACACACGAACACGCACACGCACACACGCACACATGCACACACTCACACACACTCACGCACACACTCACACATGCACATACTCACACATGCACATACTCACACACACTCACACACGCACACACTCACACACGCACACACTCACACACGCACACACTCGCACACACACACACGCACACACTCACACACGCACACACTCACACACGCACACACTCACACATGCACACACATGCACACACGCACACACTCACACATGCACACACATGCACACATGCACACACTCACACATGCACACACTCACACATGCACACACACACACGCACATGCACACACACATGCATACTCATACATGCACACACTCACACATGCACACACACACATGCACACACATGCACACACGCACATGCACACACTCACACACACATGCACACACTCACTCACACATGCACACACACACATGCACACACTCACACATGCACACACTCACACATGCACACACTCACACATGCACACACACGCACATGCACACACACACACATGCACACACACACACATGCACACACACACATGCACACACACATTCACACACATGCACACACTCACACATGCACACACTCACACATGCACACGTCCGTCTATACGCGTGCAGGCAGGCGCACACCCGACGAATAAACTCGCAGCATCAGCAGGCGACACTGGTCGTACCTGTTACTATGCTCGTACTGTGCTTGAGCGCCCGCGCGCGAACGCGTTGCTGCTGCTGATGATGATGGCGATGTTGTTGTTGGCGATGTTGTTGTTGGCGATGTTGTTTGGAAGGAGGTGTGGATGCTTTAGCTGGGATGAGCGCTCGCGTTAATGCGCCCGTGCGCGTTTATCTGCACCGCAGCTGCCGCCATCTGGCATCATCATCATCAGCCTCATCAGCTGTTCCCACCTCCCTCTCTCTCCATCTCCCTCGCTCTCTCACTCAGCATCTCTCTCTGTGTATGTCTCCATTACAGCTCAGCTCTTGTGCCTACGCGTGGCGTTAGATAAGTCGTCGGTGGCCAACACCTCTCGCTGCACGTGTGTGTGTGCACTGTGAATGTGTGTGTGTGCATTGTGAATGTGTGTGTGTGCATTGTGAATGTGTGCATGTGTGTGTGTGTGCATTGTGAATGTGTATGAGTGTATGTGTCTGCTCGCTGACGGCACTCGCCCCAAACGGTGTGTGTGATGGATGTAAGGGATATCTTTGCCTTCATCTTTTAGCCTTTCATATTCGTGCCTTTAATGGGTTTGTGAATCTAGCAGTGGATTGAGGGTGGCTGAAAAATGTTGTTCATGGGTTTGTATGTGTGTTTGGGTTATGTTCTTGTGTGCACATGCGTGTGTGTTTTGTGTACGAACGTGTGTATGTATGTTTATGTATGTGTGTGTCTGCATATGCATCTTATGTACGTGTTGCGTGTATGGACGCGTGTGTGTGTGTCTGTGCCCGTGTCTGTCTGTACGTGAGCACGCCTCTGTGCGTTGAATGGACACGTGCGCTCGCGTTTGCGTGAGCCGAGTATTCAAAACAAACGCGCGTGCCATGATCGCCGTGGGGTCGCGCGCGTTGCACGTGGCAGGAGCTCGAGTGCTAACCCACGACTGTTGGTGCTGGCATGATCTGCTTCCCCTCACCACCACCGCTACTACCAACAACATCCACCACCTCCACCACAAAACGCCACTATCCCCACCACCACTACAACCGCCACTCCCATCACCATCCTCCGCGCCACCGCTACGTCCACCACGACCACCAATCCCCACCACCACTACAACCGCCACAACGGCTACCAAATCCCCACCACCACAATCACCACCAACCACCCACCCACACCACCGCCCCCATCGCTCCCCGCAGCCCGTGATGCTGGTCCCGCGATGGAGTTCCCGGAGCACAGCCGCCAGCTGCTCCAGTGCCTGAGCCGCCAGCGCTTGCAGGGCTTCCTGTGCGACTGCACCGTGCTCGTGGGCGGCTCCGAGTTCCGAGCGCACCGTGCCGTGCTCGCCTCCTGCAGCGGGTACTTCCACCTCTTCTACCGCGACGAGAGGCCCCGACGTAGCTTCCGCGACCACGTCGGCCTCCGAGGCCGGGAGAGGGGGGAGGAGGAGCAGGAGGAGGAGGAGACGGCGGGCGACGCGGCGGAGGCGACGGCGGCGTCGATCTCCGGGGGGGTCCCAAGGCCCCCCGCGGAGTCTGCGGGGCTCGTGGTGCGGCTGAATGGGGACGCGGTGACGGCGCCCGCGTTCAGGGCACTGCTCGAGTTCATGTACGAGGGCCGCCTGCGCGTGGACGGGCTGCCCGTGGAGGACGTGCTGGCCGCCGCCAGCTACCTACACATGTACGACATCGTCAAGGTGTGCAAGCAGAGGCTCCGAGGACGTGGCGACGGGGTCGGGGTCGGTGTCCCTGCGCCAGAGCGGTGCCCCCGGCCGTGTCTGGAGAACATCTGCGTGAAGATAGAGGCGGGGGAGGAGGAGGAGGAGGAGGTGGTGGCGGCTGTGTGCAATGAGGGCGTGAGCAGCGTGCGAAGCGTCGCCGAGGGTGGCTCTCACGGCGGTGGCAGCCGGCTGGCGGTGAGGGCAGCACCGTACGGCGCGGCAGCTGGGAAAACAGCGTCAACGGCTCCATTGTTGTGTGGCGGCTCTGGCATCTCAATTAAGGGCCTCGGTGAGAGCGCGCTCGACCTGTCAGTCAAGCCGGCATCTGCGGCGGCGAGGGCGTGCGACCCCGACCTCCCGGGGCACACGGGCCTAGGTGAAAGGGAAGCGGCTGCCGCTGCAGCTGTCACAGCTGCTGCCGCTGCCGCCGCTGTTGTCTCGACGAAGGGCCTCCCGCCGCAGGAGGAGCGAGGAGGAGATTGCGACGAGGAGATGTGCGACGCGGACGAGGACCCAGCGAGGAGAGCGGACGACCTCGTGAGCAACTCGTCGCACCGCTCCAGCGGCGTGAGCTGCGAGCTCTCGGAGAAGGTTCCCTCGACCTCCAGCGAGCTGGACCACGAGGACGTGGGCAGCTCGGACGAGGGCATGGAGCCAGAGATGAAGCCGCCCGCGTCCCTGGGCCACTTTCGCTTCAAGGACGAGGCGCTGCTGCCCTTGTCGCTGCACGAGGGCGGCAGCCCGCTGCTGGGCTCGGCGGGGTTGGTGTTCGCCTGCCCCCTGTGCGGCCAGGCCATGCCGTGCCCCCAGGCTCTGCAGATCCACCTCAGCCTGCACTTCAGCGAGCGCCGCGCGGAGCCCAAGGTGGAACGCGTGGCGGGCCACCGCGGCCCGCACGGCCTGCGGCCCCACGGCAACGGCAAGGTCAAGCCGCCCCTGCCGCCGCCCCTGCCGCCGCCACTGTCGGGTGCGTGTCCCGGCGGCACGGCGCTGTTCGGGCCGGGGCCCGTGGGGATCGCGGAGGCCTCGCCGCCGGCCCTCGGCGGGGCCGAAGGGGACGTGCCCACGTGCGCCACGTGCGGGAAGACGTTCTCGTGCGCGTACACGCTGCGGCGGCACGAGCGCACGCACTCGGGCGAGAAGCCCTACACGTGCGCCACGTGCGGCAAGAGCTTCCAGTACTCGCACAACCTGACGCGCCACGCCGTCGTGCACACGCGCGAGAAGCCGCACGCCTGCAAGTGGTGCGAGCGGCGCTTCACGCAGTCGGGGGACCTGTACCGGCACATGCGCAAATTCCACGGCGGCCTCGCGGGCTCCGTGGCTGCGCAGTGAACTCGCCGATGCCTCCCCGTCTCTCCGTGCGTGACCCGCGACACGCGACACGCGCAGCGGCGGTGGCGGTGGCGGCCCCCGTTGCTCCGTTGCCCTGCACTTCTCGCCGGTGATCGTTGCCGAGATGACTCCGCGCGGGGGCCGTGGGTTTGGCCCCAAAGTGAAAAGCGAACGCAGAGTGTGAAAGTGGGCTGGGTTAAGACGCCTGAAGTGAGGTGACGGGGGTGGGGAGGAGGGTATAGGTAAGGTCAAGGTGGCAGATAGTGAGCTGGTCGGGTTGGATGGTACGTTAGAGTTAGGGATAGTCTTTAGTGTGGTTGATGTTAGGGGTTGTCTTGTAGGCTAGGTAGCTAGTCTGTTACTGATATGATTAGGGCTAGGGTCTGGTTGAAAAGTGTAGTTAGAGCAAGGGCTGCTCTTCAGGGTTAGAGTTTGGGTGGTTGTCGCCCTCGCCCCATGTAGCTCGCCTGTCACTTTCGGGGCGTCAAGTGCCCCCTCCACCCCCCCCCCCCCCCCAGTGCTGGCGTTGAAACCCAGAGGGCATTCATCAGCAGTGCTGGGCCCTGCGTGCAGCAGCCAACGTCTGCACCTGCGCAGAGCGTGCAGACGGACACGAGGCGCGGAGGCCACGACTCGCTCCATATTTTGTTTACGTCCACACGTGTACAGGTCATTAACCCAGCCCACTGCCGAACACAAGCTCCACACCTGGGCAGCGTGAGTCTGCTGATGCGGGCACTGCCGGGAAATTAACCTTTTATTTTGTTGTTGTTCAAATCCGTACGGCTGTACGTGGCGGGACTCTGTGTGAAGAGAACAAAGGACTAATCACTCACCGGAACACACGCTTCACACTCGAACACCCCCCCCCCCACCCCATCCCTTCACACACTCGCGTGATTTTTGAGTAAACCTAACAGGTATAGAACACTGTCTTTAAATATATAATATATATTGATATTACACAAAAAGCGTCGCTCTGAGACGTTTTACGAGACTGAGAAGATAGAGTGAATAATTAATTATGCATATTAATCATATGCGGTGTGAGAACAAGCGCAAAGTCTGGTGGCGGGAGTTCAGTGACACGTGGCTGTGACTGCTGCTACTACTCGTGTACCTGTATAGTCAGCCTTTCCTCAAAAGAGCACTATGAATTGAACACACATACACAGAAGAGAATATAACTCACACTATAAGAAGGCTTCCAGAAAGCGAAGTGAGAAAGATATTTTTTTTAAACCCCACGAATTATGTTTTATTTAATAACCGCAACACACAAAAAACGAACATTAAAAATATATATAATAACCCCAATTACTCCCAAGACTTTGTCCCCAAAAATGCAATGTCGCTGTTTGCTGTTGTGTAAGTTGCTCTAGAAATGCAAACTACGCGTTTCTCTGACTGGTTTCCAATTTGGGGGGTAGGGGGATCATTACCTCCTTCCGCCCCCCACTTAAACACAATTTTTATTCATCGCTCTAAATGTCAGTATTCAAGGGGGTGGGGGGGGGGGGCAGGGGGTGTGTAAACACATAAACCTGCAGGCCATTCGTCAAATCACACTTTGCCGGATGAGGGTCTTGGCGGTTGTTTTGTGTTACCATACTTCACCACGCTGGTCAATGCGGAGAGCGTAGAACACAATTGGCGGTCTTCTTTGCGCTGCCCTCTGCCGCACGCTACGTGGCCACGCAACCGCTGCCTACGAAGACCAAGCCAAGCAACTAAACCATGCTCCAGCCTGCGTAGCTTCCGAGTTCAGGTGCATTCCGGGAAGAAAACAAAAAAAAATCCCATCACGTGTAATGTAAACATGTCGTAAGTGGTGGGGTGGGGTGGGTTGGGGGTATTTTAAAAGGAAGGTTACACTTTAAAAGGAAGGTATAGACTCCTAATTGATTCTCCCAACAGATTTTACGCGAATAAAAATCACAACTTATTCGTGCCAACACGTTGGAAGAAGACCCCCCCCCTAATTGGAAAGCCAGTGTTGGAAGAAGGCCCCCCTAATTGGAAAGCCAGTGTTGGAAGAAGACCCCCCTAATTGGAAAGCCAGTGTCTGACCACGCGCGCGCGCGCGCACACACAGTCACCGTTCACAGCTTGAATGCGGCTGACGTCCACCCTGACCGCTGTGCCTGACTTCACGGAGCTCGGAGTTTACCTGCCCTGTGCCCTCTTCCCCGTGCATTACGCGTCTTCTTGTGTATCAGATAATTATAACGTGTGGGGGAGCGGTGGTGTAGCGGTTAGCGCGCCGCGCCAAGACCCGCCGACCCGAGTTTGATTCCCGCTCACGGCAAACTACCGGTGACGATTATCCAAACCGGTCCTGGGCCTCCCGTAGGTCGACTCAGTCTCAAATTAGCGCCTGGTGCGGTGTGTAAAACATCGCCAATCGGAGGATGAATGTGGCAGGACAAGGTTGTTGTTCACCCACCCCTTCTCCATGTGCCGGCCTTCATAGGTGCTCGCTAACAGCACTTACCCCAACAGTCTGTGAAAGGCTATAAGGGGGTTATTTGGTATTGTGTAAAAGCGACGGGGCAGGTGCCACCTTCCCAGCGATATCTGCTTCAGCGCGCCAGCCTTGAACAATCGATTGGTGTCGTTCGTATTGACCCGAGATTCTTTAAGCGCGATGCACAGGCGATGCACAGGAGATGCACAGGACACACAGATATATATTTGGAATTTGTACGAAAATTTTAGGACAATCTCAAACGCAAGTTGCTGGTTGTTCCGGGTTTCAGATTTGTACATTTCCCCCCCCCCCCCCCCCCCCCACATTTGCAGGAGAAGTTTGATATTCGCAAGGCATCGTTTTTTCGCTCTTTTCCCGCGTTGTAAATCACTCGGCCCTGCCAATGCCGGTGTATTGATTGTTTTGAATGCCGGGGCAATAATACACGTGGCATTTGCTGTCGAATAGTTATCTTGAGAAGGTATACGCAAAACCAACTTACTTTATTGACAAGGCAGAGAGAGGAGGAGGGGGGGGGACACTAAACTTCGAATGAATGAATGAATGATTGTTGTCTTTAATAAAAATCAGATTTACACTGACCAGCTCTGAAACCCCTTATCGCCGTGACGGTCCGTGAGCACTGCCTGATGGTGGTGTGACACCGCGCGCGCACAGAACTGCAACACACAATACACACAACACACACAATACACACAACACACATTTATTTATTCACACGCAAAGATCCTCGTATAGCTTTTAACAGGCTGTTGGAGGCAAGCGAGGGGGTGGGTGGCCAGCACCACGCCCGGCCGCCTTTGTCTCCCCAGTGGCGATGTTTACACCGCACCAGGTACTCATTTGAGGCTGAGTCCACCTAGGGGGAGGCCCAGGTCCGGTGCAGATAATCGTCACCGGTGTTGGCCGTCAGCGGGGATCCAACTCGTGTGGCCGGGTTCGGAGCGCATTCGCGATAACCGCTACACCCCACCACACACTCCACATCCACGTGCTTATCACGCACGCTCACACCACGACACGCATACACCGTTAAACGCGCACGCCAATACGCACCCTCCAATATAATACAATACCCTCGCCATTCGCCACTAAGTGACGGTGACGTCCCCACGGCGTCTGTGCCAGGCCAGGTGCACTTGAGGCCACGTGAAGTGTCGAAGGCTCGCTGGACAGGAGGTCTCGGGACAGACCCAGCAGATGCCGTGGGGTCGGCTGACTGAAATGACCGGGCAGATGCACCACACCATCTGTACCCCCCCTACCAAGCACCACGGTCGAAACGCCAACATCGATACACACGTTTATTCACCCTCCACACGCCTATGCACCCTCCACACGCCTATTCACCCTCCACGCGTCTATTCACCCTCCACGCGTCTATTCACCCTCCACGCGTCTATTCACCCTCCACACGCCTATTCACCCTCCACACGCCTATTGACCCTTCAAGTCTATTCACCCTCCACACGCCTATTCACCCTCCACACGCCTATTGACCCTTCAAGTCTATTCACCCTCCACACGCCTATTCACCCTCCACCCGCCTATTCACCCTCCACGCGTCTATTCACCCTCCACACGCCTATTCACCCTTCAAAAGTCTATTCACCCTCCACACGCCTATGCACCCTCCACACGCCTATTCACCCTCCACGCGTCTATTCACCCTCCACGCGTCTATTCACCCTCCACACGCCTATTCACCCTCCACACGCCTATTGACCCTTCAAGTCTATTCACCCTCCACCCGCCTATTCACCCTCCACACGCCTATTGACCCTTCAAGTCTATTCACCCTCCACACGCCTATTCACCCTCCACCCGCCTATTCACCCTCCACGCGTCTATTCACCCTCCACACGCCTATTCACCCTTCAAAAGTCTATTCACCCTCCACACGCCTATGCACCCTCCACACGCCTATTCACCCTCCACGCGTCTATTCACCCTCCACGCGTCTATTCACCCTCCACACGTCTATTCACCCTCCACACGCCTATTCACCCTCCACACGCTTATTGACCCTTCAAGTCTATTCACCCTCCACACGCCTATTCACCCTCCACACGCCTATTCACCCTCCACACGCCTATTGACCCTTCAAGTCTATTCACCCTCCACACGCCTATTCACCCTCCACACGTCTATTCACCCTCCACCCGCATATTCACCCTCCACGCGTCTATTCACCCTCCACACGCCTATTCACCCTTCAAAAGTCTATTCACCCTCCACACGCCTATTCACCCTCCACACGTCTATTCACAACCCTTCGACGCATACATCCGTTACGTAGTTACCCCACTCCACACACGCGCGCGCGCGCAGGTATACTGTAAGTTCACTTTTCAGCAGAAAATGCAACGTTGGTCCAACCACACGCCGACGGCGACCCAACAACGTCCCACGCTTACTGCAAAACACGACGCACAACTCTGGCTGTCCGCCTGATGATGCTGGTTGTAATCACTGGCGAAACGTCGTACGCCGATTGTAAATGTTGCCGGGTTTACCCTTCAACACACCGTTGCGCTGAACCAGTCACGAATCGGCACGTTTTGTTTACGTGACCTCACTGTATTGCTGTGTCGGGTGGTGGCGGGTTAAACGACACATTGATATTTACGGGATCAAACTCGAAAAACCTCCATCATGGACAACATACAGGTGTGTGGTTGTCCCCCCCCCCCCCTTCAATGAACACCGCCTTAACAGAAAACAATATAATCGGCGACGTTTCGAGCAATGACTCTCCTTCATCGCACGCGCCGACTGGTTTCCGCACGCCGGACCCAAGCTAAGAAGCCCTCCTCGACTCGCCACGGGGCCACGGGGAGGTCCATCGAATTCCTACCGGAGGCGGTGGTGGGGCCACACAAAGCGGCCACAATCTGGAGGCGAGCTTCGAAGGGCATCGGTTTGACGCCACCTCGTGGGCAAGCCCATCAAGGCGAGGTCGTTCACGCCAGTCCAGCGCAGGGGTTAGATCGCGTAAAGATAAATGTGTCGTTAAAGAGTCATCGCTTTTGGAATTCGGAATAAAAAAACACCCTCACTATTTCAAGAGCCGCAATGCAACGTGAATAAGAGAACGGTGGTCCTGAATAAATAAAGTCACCAAGCAGTCCCTTAAAGAGACGCATGCGTCTGCGGAGCCGCAGGTTTCCGACCCCTGGCCTAACAGACAGCAACGGAGACCATCGCCAATGAGAGGAATTGCCCCGGGCACAACAGAAAAAGAAAAAAACCACAGCACGGAAGCGAGAATTCAATTTGAGGCCCACGGATCATAGAAGTTCACAGCCGCACACACTCGGCAACTCTGTGAACACCGATCTTCTTCACGCCTACGATGCGACGCATTGGAGTCGGGGGCTGGTGGAGCGTTGGCCACGTTTTAAACCATTAAAGCTGCCGGGCTACGGGGTAGTACAGCAAGTGTGTTCGTGAACACGTGTGTGCGGACGTCTCAAGGGTGTTATCGCTTTGTGCTGTGTATTAGGGCTGAACGATTTGGGCAAAATATCTAATTGCGATTTTTCTGACAGATATTGCGATTTGATTTGCGATAAAAAAAATTAAGTCAAGCTTCAGTTCAATATTCACTGTGTAATAGATTTAAAACATGTGATAGAGCATTACCACATGATACCATCAAAATATCAAATGCTCGAAATATTCTAATGCAAGGATAACTTAAAATATATGAATTGCTTCCAACATGTATTTATAAAAAAATGTTTTAATAGGAATAGAACAATCAAACAGAACAATTGTTAAATTAAATAAAGTTACAATAATAAAAAATAAAACAATTCCAATAATAAAGTAATAGGACTTTTCAAATCGCAGCCTTTGCGATTTGCTAATCGCATTGTTTCCAATTGCGATTTGAAATCGATTAATCGTTCAGCCCCACTGTGTTTGGTGCGTTCTCGCTGGGCGTTTCATTTGCATTTCCATACGCCAAAAAAGTCACTGGCCAAACATTGCAATGCAGGACCCTCCTGAAGGAATACCCTCGAGACGCGGGGAGGATTTCCTTCATGAATACGGTAAGTCCTCGTTTAATGCGGTAGATGCGTTCCTGCAAAGTGCCACGTTGAGCGAATAACGCGTTAAACGAAAACATTTCCCCGTAAATAATGTAACGATAAAATTTGGCGAGATACGATGTACGGCGCACAGTAAGATGGCGGAACAAATAACGGAGGGTACGCCGCCGCGTTATTCTATCACCCCGCGTCCTGCATCGCTCAGCCATGCTGCTCAAGAACACAGTTCCGTCATCGTCTGCTCAGAACCCGCTTTAGAACGGGCGCGTTCCGCGTTATAACGGGCGCGTTCCGCGGAGTGCTGAAAGTGCTACCCAATGGAAGAACCGCGTTATAGCGAACACGCGCTCGGCGATGACTTACCGTAATCGACGTTACCACGGAACGCGTGTATTCGCTGCAGTCTGAGTTGTTCCCTCCCTCTTGGGACAGGTATATAAACTGTACATATACAGTGAGGGAAACAAGTATTTGATCCCCTGCTGATTTTGTACGCTTGCCCACTGACAAAGAAATGATTAGTCTATAATTTTATTGGTAGGTTTATTTGAACAGTGAGAGACAGAATAACAACAAAAAATCCAGAAAAACGCATGTCAAAAATGTTATAAATTGATTTGCATTTTAATGAGGGAAAAAATATTTGACCCCTCTGCAAAACATGACTTAGTACTTGGTGGCAAAACCCTTGTTGGCAATCAGAGGTCAGACCTTTCTTGTAGTTGGCCACCAGGTTTGCACACATCTCAGGAGGGATTTTGTCCCACTCCTCTTTGCAGATCTTCTCCAAGTCATTAAGGTTTCGAGGCTGACGTTTGGCAACTCGAACCTTCAGCTCCCTCCACAGATTTTCTATGGGATGGTCTGGAGACTGGCTAGGCCACTCCAGGACCTTAATGTGCTTCTTCTTGAGCCACTCCTTTGTTGCCTTGGCCGTGTGTTTTGGGTCATTGTCATGCTGGAATACCCATCCACGACCCATTTTCAATGCCCTGGCTGCGGGAAGGAGGTTCTCACCCAAGATTTGACGGTACATGGCCCCGTCCATCGTCCCTTTGATGCGGTGAAGTTGTCCTGTCCCCTTAGCAGAAAAAAACCCCCAAAGCATAATGTTTCCACCTCCATGTTTGATGGTGGGGATGGTGTTCTTGGGGTCATAGGTAGCATTCCTCCTCCTCCAAACACGGCGAGTTGAGTTGATGCCAAAGAGCTCCATTTTGGTCTCATCTGACCACAACACTTTCACCCAGTTGTCCTCTGAATCATTCAGATGTTCATTGGCAAACTTCAGACGGGCATGTATATGTGCTTTCTTGAGCAGGGGAACCTTACAGGCGCTGTAGGATTTCAGTCCTTCATGGCGTAGTGTGTTAACAATTGTTTTCTTGGTGACTATGGTCCCAGCTGCCTTGAGATCATTGACAAGATCCTCTCGTGTAGTTCTGGGCTGATTCCTCACCGTTCTCATGATCATTGCAACTCCGAGGTGAGATCTTGCATGGAGCCCCAGGCCGAGGGAGATT